CCTTGCTCCCGAAGGGATGAGACCAGTGGAGTATCTTAGATGGCCGCTCACAGGCTTTGAAGACCCCAGACACTACTCACCAAGGTAGAATGTAGAGCATTGTCTTTATAAGCTGTGTCATGCCAGTTGTTTTGCTCACTTCTTAACTGGGTTCATCTTTTTCTTACTGATTTGTAGGCATTCTTTATATATTCTGGATTTTCCCTTCGTTTATTGTATATTTTTTATGCCAGTGTTTTAAGGTTTAATGTAGTAAAATTTACCAGTCTTTTCATTGTGGTTAGTGTTTTTGTGTCTTATTAAACAAACAAACAAAACGTCAACCTGTCCTGAAGTCATAAAGATATTTTTAATATTTTCTTCTAAAAGTTTTGCCTTTTTCACCTTCCAGGTGACTTCTTTTGCATTTTCTGTGGTGAAATACTGTAGCTTCAAACTTCCTTTTGTGGGTTCTTTCATATGTTTCAGTGTCCAAATTGTGCAAGCCCTCTCCTGAAACTTATAAAGTATAATATCCAACAGTTAAAATTTTACAATTAAAATTTTTTTATAATTGATCACCTCTACTGCTGACTGTTTAAAAAAAATAAATAAATACAGATGATACAATTTTTAAACTGTATTTTTTGCAGATAAATAATAGCTTGTTAAATTTGCAAGATGGTGTTATTCCTTTCCTTCTCTGTTTTTCTCTAATGGAAGTTATTTATGTATTTATATTTTCAGTCACATTAACCTTGCTCTAGAAGACAACTTTAAAAATGATCTAGACAGAACAGGATTAAAGATGACTGATTACTGAGCACCAGAAATTTAAAATAATCAGGTACAAACATTTTTGGAGGGAATGTTGCCAACAAGTATAAAATAAAGCTGTTTGGAATGTATACTGAGAAAAATTAGAATATCCCTGCAGTAGAGTGAATCCTCCAAGAGCAAGGGCTTTGGTATTAGCCCTGGCTTCAGATACTGGCTGTAACTCAGATTGGCTGGTGATCATTGGTCACATTACTGAAGCGTGTCCAGAAAATGGAGGCATTGGTGTACCTGTTTCATATGGATGTTACAAAGATTAAATGAGATCACGTCAAGTGCTTAGTGCTTTGCACAGGGTAACTTTTACTAAAAATGTTATTATCGTTGCTCTTGTTATTTAGAATATATTATGTTTATCATATCATGGATGTGGTATTCTTTTTGTATAATGTGGATATTTTTACAAGTACATATTGATATATGGTGGAATGACATGAAGATTAGGGTAATATAACTATTCTCCCCCACATATATTCCACAAGCTATCGCCTCAAATAATGCAAATTGGGGAAGACTAGTTCTCTCTGGAGCCCTGGTGGCGTAGTGGTTAAAAACTATGGCCGCTAACCGACAGATCGACAGTTCGAACCCACCAGCAGCTCTTGGAAACCCTATGGGGCAGTTCTGCTCTGTCCTGTGGGATTGCTATGAGTTGGAATCAACTCGATGACAGTGGTTTTGTTTGGTATGTATTACATTGGAATAGTGTTAAAAAAAAAAAAAGTCAATCCTATTTTTCAATAATGCTAGAGAATTCAACAGAGTTTTTTCACAGTATTATGAAATGGTAATTAATCTTGAATCATTTTATCATTTTTAAATCAAAGGACTTTCTGATCAACAAAAATGAAATTATGTTAATCTTACACTTAGTGTTAATTGAATCTTAATGAATGCTGTTTCTTTGAATATGGTAATTTCCATGTGACATACATGTAATTATGTCTTAATTTGATTATTCAAATAAACAAAATGGCCTACTTTCCCACCATTCTGATTTTTAAAGAGTTTATTATACTTGAAATTGATTAAAGACATTATAAGAGCTGTATTTATTATCCTCTGTAAAAAGCCAGGGATCTGCTATTCCGTGATCTCAACATATTAGCTAGATGACCCTTATACTAGGAACAAAACTGGCCTACGGTATAGTGAGGGACAGTCACATCTCTGCTTGGGTCCCTTTTCCTTCTGTTCTTTATTTCCTTTTTTCACGACTTGATGGCACCTAACAATAACGACAACAACAGCAACTCTTCTCCTTTCTTTTTATTTTTTATTCTAGTAAACTTTGGGTGGATATGAAAAGGCAAAAGAAAGAAATCCTTAGTATAGGCAGGCTCCAGTTTACAAAAAGCCATATTTTAAGGATGCTTTCAACAAGTACACTGTGTTCTCAAGAAAAGGTTTAAACACAGAAGAAAACATTCTTTGATGGTTACAAGGGTGGGGAGGGAGGGTGAAGGTTATTTACTAACTAGATAGTAGATAAGAATTATTTTAGGTGAAGGGAAGGACAGCACACACTACAGGGGAAGCCAGCACAACTGGACTAAACCAAAGCTAAGAAGTTTCCTCAATACAAGCAAACACTTTGAGGGACAGAGTAGCAGGGGTAGGGGTCTGGGGACCATGCTTTCAGGGAACATCTAGGTCAATTGGCATAACAAAGCTTATTAAGAAAATCTTCTGCATCCTACTTTGGTGAATGGCGTCTGGGGTCTTAAAAGCTTGCAAGCGGCCATCTAAGATGCCATCAGTTGGTCCCAACCACCTGGAGTAAAGGAGAACGAAGAACACCAAAGACACAAGGAAAGTATTACCCCAAGATACAGAATGGGCCACATAAACCAGAGACTTCATCAGCCTGAGAACAGAAGAACTAGCTGGTGCCCGGCTACCACCAATGAACGTCCTGACGAGGAACCCAACAGAGGGTCCCTGATGGAGCAGGAGAAAGGTGGGGTGCAGCACTCAGATTCTAGTAAGAAGACCAGACTTAATGGTCTGACTGAGACTGGAGGCACCCCAGAAAGCATGGCCCCTTGGACTCTCTATCACCCCAGAACTAAAACAATTTCTGAGGGCAACTCTTCAGACAGGGATTGGACTGGACTGTGGGACATAAAGTGATACTCGTGAAGAATGTGCCTCTTAGCCAAGTAGATACAAGAGACCAAAGGGGCAGCTTCTGTCCAGAGGTGAGATGGGAAGGCAGAGAGGGTTAGGAGCTGGCTGAATGGACGTAGGGAGTCAGGGGTGGAAAGGAGGAGTGTGCTGTCACAGTATGGGGAGAGCAATTAGGGTCACATAACAATGTATGTAAAAATTTTTGTGTGGGAGACTAACTTGAAATGTAAACCTCATTTAAACTACAACAATAAAAAGATTTTTAAAAAGCTGCTCCATAAAAAAAAAACAAAAAACAAAAAAACCAAATAACACTGTGTTCTGCTATGAGCCATGTGCTGTAGTGGTTTCAATGATGAACAAATCATGGTCCCCATTCTTAAAGAGCTTGCAAATTAATAGAGACAACAAACCAAGTAGGAGTAACTACCACAGAGGCAGAATATGAAAAGTGCCGTAAGTGAGAGAAAAAAAAAAAAGTGCCATGGCAGTACAGAGAAGAGGGTCCCAGGCCACTTGTGTAGTCAGGAACAGTGTCAACATGGAGCTCAGTGGCAGTCATGCTGGGGTTTTAGAGAATAATTAGGATTTTAACAAATCTACTAAAACAGAACAGATAATGTGTGGTTATGTATTTATTAAATATGGCAAGACATCTTTCCATATTGGCAACCAGATCAAGTTTTATTAATTTATAAGTGCGAAAATTCAAAGCATTCTTTTTGAAAACAAACATACTTCTTGGATCTGTTTCCAAACAATAGGAATCACACTTTGCTACCAGAGTACCACAGTTTAAGGGCTATAATGATTCTGAATATATTATCCTTCTATTCTGAGAGACCTTTTTACAGCTGAGAAGAAAAATAACATCAGTATCCTCAAGGGTATACGAAACATTGATAAGGAGCACTGTTAGGACTTGACCTTATTTTTGATTATTTTTATCTATTTTAAGACTCAAATGCTTGTAAGTAATATAAAATAAAATGCTCTTGATGTTAATATTTGAAATATGGATTGTGTTTAAGTAAATAGGACCCAACCTAATAAACCAGAAAAATTAACATTACTAAACTTAGTTTCATTACATTTCTTTTTTGGGGAGAGAGAATATTTCATTTATTTAGGTTTAGTGATGAGATACTCAACTGTGTAACATTTGAACCACAGTCCAGGCATGCTCATTATCTTCGAATAGGGCTGCTTCTATTATTACTTCTACGTAGTACAAAGTAGTTATTGCAAAGATAGTTATTAAGACAAGAAAGTTCAGTGCTATTGCTACGTACTTGATGGCTGCTCTTTTTCAGATTTTTTGTTATAATCCGTGATAACAAAGCCATATTCATTCATTCTTTTCATTCATTCCTCCTTTTTGTTCTGTTTTCTTTTTACAGCTTAGGAAATCATATACTCTTGAGTGGAGCTGAGAATTGATCAGTCTGCTCTTCACAGTGATTTGGAACTTTCCAGACACAGGGAAAAGTTGGCTAAGGTCTAATACGTGTTTTTCCCTATCCATAGGAAGTCAACTCTGAAATAGACATTTTCTGTTCATTCCTTTTAAATTTAAGAACCTACAATTATCCTGGGGTTACTTTCCCAGACCTCTGCAGGAGGATTCCCATAAGTGACTGTACTGTAGTTCCAGATCAGTTAAAACACCTTTGGCTTTTGTAGCTGTTAACTCCCATGCCTAAAGCTTCATTCCCTCATTTTCCCTTCTCCATACCTGTTTTCTCTGTTAACTAAAAGTGAAGTGATTTTAATGTGCCTAGTTTAATCTGACATATGGGATCCTGATTTTACCACATACTTTTCCTCAGGGTCTGCACAGGACTGAGTCCATATGGAAGAAGAACTTCCTCTTTTCTGTGGAGAAAGTGGCAAGGTTAGAAAAAATCATGAGCATGTATTTTCTGTTGCATGAGACATACTTCATCAAACATCTAGTGGTCACCTGACAGGAAGATGAATGAGATAATATATATCTTTGAGGGGCCTACAGTGCAGTAACTAAGAAGCCAGCAGATAATTATTGTGAGTATGTAGAATGTTAAAGGGCACAAAGAACTATTGATACTGTCTGAGGGGTATAGAAAGAGTTTGCAAGGAAGATAACTTTTGAGCTTGTTGGGGACCAGCTTCTTTCATAGATAATGCTTTCCTGCCAAAGGGTCTGAGCTGAACAATGTTCACAAGGGAACAGTGGATAACAAGGGAGACTCCATTCTCGGTGATTAAAAAAAAAAAAAAAATTATTAAATATCTATTCTTAGATGATGTGTTCTTAATTCACCATAGATGTTCTTCGTTTCTTTTCCATCACATCTGAACATTACAGCCAACCAGCTTAAGTCCAGTCAGTGTCCAACTGATGTTAAAAGTTCCACAGCTTTCAGCATGCATAATCATTCCCATCTTGTCTTGATTTTATTAAATTTACAAAATATCTGCTCATCCCTATTAACAGCTTAATATTAACTATCACTGCTAACTTTCACTTTCTGTTTTTCACTCATGTTTAATAAAATAAGGGCAAAATGCAATAAAAGATGTCAGCGATTATACAGAGCTGGCACTGGTGTACAAAGATGGCAAAGCTTCTGAAATTAAACTGCTGTGATATGTGCTAGCTCGAGATGTTCATTTGTCTTCTCTTACAGGAAGGTCCAAAAGTAGTTTAAAAAAGTAATGTACAGAACTTGAGATTCTTATAAAATGTTAAAAATCCCTATTTTTTTCCCCTGGGAACAGATTTTGTATAATAAAAGAAAAAAATCGTATTAGCAGTGAAGTCACGTTATTACATGCAAGGTGTTATACTGCCAGGAAACAGGCAACTGTGCCTCACTCAGATATGGTGGCCAACTGCACAGCTTTGAATGGGTGTCGCTTTTCACAAACCAAAAAAACCCAAACCTGTTGCCGTCCAGTCCAACTCACAGCTACCCTATAGGACAGAGTAGAACTACCTCATAGCATTTCCAAGGAGTGGCTGGTTAAGAGCCGTAGCTCTTAACCACTGCGCCACCAGCGCTTCTCACTCTCCACAGTCCTGCCAGTAATCCAGTGTCCCACATCAGACTCCTGAAAGTTTCCTGATGCCAGAGACCAGATTATTGGCAGGACTGTGGAGAGAGACACACATTCAAAGCGGTGCTGTTAGCCGCCATCTTTGAGTGAGGCACCACTGCCAGCTTCCTGCTCACGCTGATATGCAAGAGATTTAGTTGCTATGCAGTGCGTACACTGCCCTTGTTTCTGTGGGTCACGACTGAACCGCTATGAACTGGTTCGAAGCCCTGCCTTGTTTCCAAGGGCCATGACTGAACCGTTTAGAACTGGTTCAAAGCCCTGCCTTATGGAGGGTGATTCCATTCCATTAGATTCTATCACATCCACAGGTATAGGGATACAGATACTCTGGGGGGTGGGGGGAGAGGGGACACAGTTCGGTCTGTAACACTGTTGTGGGGCTGCTGATGCTCATGATCCAATCCCCAAACCTGAGTGGAGGTGGAGGAAACCCACCAACAGCTCCAACTGAAGGTCAGGTGAAGCTTGCCCAGGAACTGAAACTCTGAGACCATTTCCTTGCTGTCACCTTCAGCATTGTTTTTTCCAAGGACTTGCTTTTGTTCTGACCTTTTATTTCCCTCTTTTAGTATACTGCCTGAAATTAAGATTTAGGCAACAGATGAAATAGCAGTCTTCTCTCTCGTTTTTCCCTGCTTTTGTAACCACTCTAGTTTTTATATGTAATACATACCTAACATTTAAAATACTTGCTAGACATTTAGCTCCCCAAAGTTCTGGCTTGGATAATGCCCATGTCCTTGAGGAAAATTCTAGGTGAGGGCCTCTGGTGCTGATTTCTGTGAGAGGAGTATGGAAGCGTTTCCTCTGCTGGGGACAGTACTGAGGTCATTCCTGCTGCTGGGAGAGGCCTCTCAGAAATAAATGGAGCTTGTTCCTCCTTCACATGGTGTTAATTAACCCTCTTCTACAGAAGTGAAACGGGCAAAGAAAATTTATTTGACTGTTTCTCCTTTCCTTTTTTTTCCTTTTCAGCCAGTACAGGCTACTCTGTCATCTTTGAAGATGGTAGATGTGGGAAAGTGGCCAATTTTTTCCCTTTGTTCTGAGGAAGAACTGCAGTTAATTCGCCAGGCTTGTGTCTTTGGCAATGCTGGCAATGAAGTTTTATACACTACAGTAAATGATGAGGTAATTTTGAAGGAAACACTTCAGCCGCCCACATTTTTAGTAATGGATTTGCTAAATTGAAGAACTTGGGAGAACTAAGGAATTAAGGTAAAAAAAGCATGGAACATAGATCTCTTACTTGTTTTATACTGAAGTCACTTTGCTTTAGGAGGACCATGCCCGTTTTAATGTAGTTTATAGGTCTGTCAGAAATAGAACTGTCTTAACCAACAGTGGCTTTTCTCACAGATTTTTGTGCTTGGCACAAACTCCTGCGGCTGTCTGGGGTTAGGGGACGTCCAGAGCACCCTTGAACCTCGGAGACTGGATTCGTTAAGTGGCAAAAAAATAGCCTGCCTCAGCTACGGGAGTGGCCCACATATCGTCCTTGCCACGACAGGTAACCGAGGAACACAGTGGAGGATTTTAGCTCCTGCCTTGTGTGTTGAGAAGCAAGAGTAGGACCTCCCCTTAAACTGAGAATATACCTTTTGATGAGTGAGATTTGCCAGCTCTGCCCTTTGAGCTCGACTCTGCTTTGGACAAAGTGAAATATGAATATGTCTGATAATGTCATAGTAAGATAATGTAGCAGATGGAATCTAGCAATTAATGGCACTTTACATGTATGAATGACAAGCCAGAAGCACAGTAAACCCGTCTGTTTATACTTTATAAGTGTAATTACTTTTCATTAGAACTCTGAATTCACCCTGTACTTTGGCACGTCTCTTTTTTGAACTTTATATTCCTGAGTAAATTAGGTTCCAAGATTCCTTCTAACTCTGAACCTTCTGTGATTCTTATGCTAAGCAGTGATGGTTGGCTGCAGTTGGTATTAATAGTCTGTGGAATTAAACATTCTCATGTCTGTTTCATGAACTTGGACTAATAAGACATTTGAACTAAAACATACCTTAGAATTTTTCTTAAGCTGGGTATTCATTTTATTAGTATTCTTTAAACTGTAAATAAATTATATAAATATTCTTTTATGTATTTATTTCACATTTAAAAAATAAGTTTTAGGGATTTCTGAATTCTGGTAATGGCTCATTAGATTAGAAACAGCACATCTTCACTGAAAACAACTAAAAATTCCAGATCAAATGTTTTTTAAAGGGCTTCCTAAAGACATCAAAGCACTAACAAGGTAGTAAGGACTTATCGGGCCAAATTTAAGAGAAAGTATGGAGTCTCTGGGTGGTATAAATGGTTAACGCGCTTGGTTGCTAACCAAAAAGTTGGAGGTTCAAGCCCACCCAGAGGCACCTCGGAAGAAAGGCCTGGCGATCTGCTTCCAAAAAACCAGCCATTGAAAACCTTATGGAGCACAGTTCTATTCTGATACACATGGGGTCGCCATGAGTTGGAATCGACTGGAAGGCAGTTGGGTTTGTTTTTTTTTTTTTTTTATGAACTAAGAGGTTAGAAGGGAACTTGAAGCATTTTTGCCTTAAAAGCGTCTCCTTGTCCACTTAAACTGAGTTGCAGTTTGGATGGACTCGTTGAGGGGAGGTTCAAAGTCAAAGCCCTGCCTAATAGGGCTTCAGTAGAAAACCTCTCACAGGAGGCTGGGGTTACAAAGAGCTACACTCTCCTCATCTCCAGGGGACTTGGCAGAGGAATCCCTTGACTCTGAGCAAAGCAGAGAGAAAGAAAGAGAAAAAGGGAGGAAGGGAGGGAAGAAGGAGGGAAGGAAGGAAAAACTAAACTGTTATTCAGGATACATATGTCAGGGGCTTCAGGGTGACTGTGAGATTTTTTCTCAACTAAGTGATAATTACATAGATGTTTGCTTTATAATTATTCGTGAAACTGTACATACCTGTTTTATGAACTTTTCTGAATGTGTATTATATTGTACAATAAATAGTATAATAGCAATTCTAAAAATTACCTTGGTGATCATTTTATAGAGAAGAAAATTAAGGCCCAAGGAAGTTAAGTGAGCTTAAAATCTTTTAATTGTAATTTAATACTTTTTCCCATTATTCTGAGCAGCCTTTTCTCCGCTGTTTATTAAAAACCTATCTTCCAGCCATTATACCTGCCTTCTTTTAAATTTTATCTTGGTGCTTTGAGGTAGAATGCAGTTTAAACTTTCCAAATGTATTCTTTTATAGAAAGAGTTTGGTGGAATAGGGCAGTGGATTAACTTTTTGCGTCTGAATTTTTAGTTTTCATTTGTGGACACCGTGCACTCTACATATTCGTATAATGATTACCTGGCTTTCTTTATTTTCAGAAGGAGAAGTCTTTGCCTGGGGTCACAATGCTTACAGCCAGCTGGGCAATGGGACAACTAACCATGGCTTAGTGCCCTGTCACATCTCTACTAACTTGTCAAACAAACAAGTCATTGAAGTTGCCTGTGGATCGTACCATTCTCTGGTGCTAACATCTGATGGAGAGGTGAGACTAGTCAGCAAAAAGCTCGCTGATTTTTTTTCATTAAGACTATATAGATTCTTACAGTAGTCCCGGAAATATGATCATTTGATTAAAATAACCATGTCCCTCAAATTCACTCATATTTTTGGTGGTAGTTCATAGCCATGGTGCTTATATTATGATGTTTACCAATATGTAGTAAGGATTTAAATAACTGTAAACTTTAAAAAGAAGTATTTTTCTTTCCATATTGCTATAGTGAAAGGAGTTATTTGCAGAAAGAAAAACCCCAAGGTGCTGGAAAATATGACTGAGACCAAGTAGATGTTTTTACAAGTGTTACATGATATCTGACAATAATTATTACTGCTAGTTTGTGTAAATAACAGTGTAACTTAATTTGGTAAAATTAAGTTGTAAGAAAGAATTTTATAAAAATTTCTCTGCCTGTGTTGTGAGAATTAATGTATATGCAACACTTTATGAGGAAAGAGGAGGTGTCGTAAGTGTCTGTTAGTATCCATTTGAGACACTTATAAAATGATGTGTTTTACTTAATGCTCTCGTCTTTCTAATAGGTGTTTGCCTGGGGTTACAATAACTCTGGACAGGTAGGATCTGGATCCACAGCGAATCAGCCAATCCCTCGAAGAGTCACCGGCTGCTTACAGAACAAAGTAGTTGTGAACATAGCATGTGGGCAGATGTGCTCAATGGCAGTAGTGGACGCTGGGGAGGTAAGATAGTTGTTTCATTAATTGTTTAAAAAACCTGTTTGCTCATCTGTGTCATGCCGGCCTGACGTGTTTCTTGTAATGTAGAACTTGGTTGCTCTTGTCGTTCTTGGGTGTTGAGTTTTTCATTTTCTCTCAGGTCTGTGTCTGGGGTTACAATGGAAATGGGCAGCTTGGACTTGGCAGCAGTGGCAACCAGCCAACGCCCTGTAGAATAGCAGCTTTGCAAGGCATTCGTGTCCAGCGGGTATGTCCACTCTTGGTTTGTGCATGTGTGTTTTTAAGTCTGCAGTGGCAAAGATCGTGGGATGAGAAGTTGAGCTGCTTGGATGTCTTCTGGAGTAAAGCTTAAAGCTCGTTTTCCCTGAATTCAGTTGTGCACGTTCAGAAAATTTATATTTTTAGGGCACTCTCATACACAGCTGTAAATTGTTACAATCTTTCCCAAGGAAGATTTGGCGGTATGTATCAAGGGCCTTAAAAATATTCATACCCTTTGCCTGTAATTCTACTCCTAGAGAATTGTCCTAAAGGAACCAAAGAGAAAGTCACTTAAAGAATTAGTTAAGAAATATAGCAAAAATTTGATAACTTTAATAAAAAACAATAGATGTAGCATAATTTGTCTAATCAATTAATAAGTTAATGATTAGGTAAATTGTGCTACAACTATATGATCGAATAGTGTCCAGGCAGAAGAATGATGTTTACAGAGGATTTTTAATGATATGGGAAAGTGGTATCCATAATTTTAAGTGAAAAGAAACAAGATACAGAACTGATTATATAATACGGTTATTAAAAAAAAACAAGTACATATCTCTATATCTGTATATAAATAGAAAAATAACATTGGCATACCTCAGAGGATTGCTATTTGTTGATCTTGAGATTGTTTTGATATTTCTACTTTTCTGTAGTTTTCACTTTGAATGTGTTTTACTTTTATAATCAGAAAAAGATGATTAAATAACAAAGTAATAATAATTTAAAAATAAAAACTTTTGTCATATATTCATTCATCTCATGGAGTCCTTGGGTGGCGCAAATGCTCGGCTAGTAACTGAAAGGTTGGCATTTCAAATCCACCCAGAGGTGCCTCAAAAGAAAGGCCTGGTAATCTACTTCCCAAAAATCAGCCATTGAAAATGATACGGAGCACAGTTCTGTTCTCACACGCATGGGGTCACCATGAGTTGAAGTTGACTCAGTGGCAGTTAGTTTGGTTTTTTTGGTTTATATTCGCCTCACACCCCACTGAGTCTGTGTCATAATGAATACCATATTAAAGCTGAATAAGCTGGGTCCGAGCAAGCTGCTCATGTTGATCTTACTGTAATTCTGGCAAAATCTGTGTCCCAAGCTAGTGTTCTAGCGGGTTACTGGTTAACTTAATGCTGCCTCTTCCTTGTTCTCTTGTTTGAGTTTTAGCCTACCCTGTGACAGCATTATTTCCGTCTGTTTGCAGGCCTGAGCGGATTTGGTTTTTCTCCCTCCAGGTTGCCTGTGGCTACGCACACACCTTAGTGCTAACAGATGAAGGCCAAGTGTACGCTTGGGGCGCTAATTCTTACGGCCAGTTGGGTACTGGCAATAAAAGTAACCAGTCCTACCCTACCCCTGTCATGGTGGAAAAGGACAGGTAATGCAAGCATTTTCACAGTAACCCCAACGTTCATCAGTGATTAAACAGAACTTAGACATGATACAGAGTTGTGGGAAATTTACTGCTAGTGTTACAGTATTCTTGCTTTAACAACGTTCATTCTTCATTAAAAGTTGGCTTTTGAATTGTTGGAGAGGTTGACTATATGTTAAATATTCTATTTTTCACTTACTCGTATTTCATCCATACCTCCAACAGCTGCTGTACCCAAACTAGGATGACTAACCTGCCAACAGCTACTGTAGGTGATTCTTCTCCCTCGGAGACTCCCCATTCCCCTTCTCTTTGTCTTCTGATTTACATTCTTAAGAGGAAGTTGATAATGGTTGAAATCTATCTTCCGTGGCACAGGAAAAGGAAGGGCTGCAAAGGCAATCACTCAGCTACTTGTGACATTTTCCAGTTAAAAAGCATAGGATTATTTCATTACCTTAACTCCCAAACTATCTCTACGAGGAAGAGTAAAATGACTAGAAAGTTAACACTTAGTTTTGGTCACAAGACTGTGCTAAGTAATTATTTTCCAAGTTATCCTAATAATATTGTTGAAGGGCTTTTGAATTTCCCAAGCATGGCCACATTCATTTCCTGACACTATAGTGTGAAGCAAAAACATTTCATTATCTTTTCTTTTAAACGAGGGTTGCAGTCACTTTAGAAATTACTACTGCTGTTTTTATTTCATGGAGCCCTGGTAGTGCAGTGGTTAAGAGCTCGGCTACTAACCAAAAGGTCAGCAGTTCGAATCCACCAGCCGCTCCTTAGAAACTTCTGAGGCAGTTCTACTCAGTCCTATAAGGTGGCTAAGAGTTGGAATCGACTCGACAGTGATAGGTTTTTGGTTTTTTTATTTCAGATATTAATTTTTATTATATTTGATTTAAAAATAAATATATGGATAAATAGATTATCTCGCATTTATATGCAATTCTTTGATGTTCTTCTGTTGGATTACATAATGAAAGTGAAGCACCGAGATTGTCATTTTTCAACCACAATACTCGGTTTTCATTTGAGTATTGTGAACCTGGCTAATTTTATTTAACTTAAGTAAGTTTTTTTCCCCAAAAAGTTTTAGAATAAGATCCTTGACCTCTTACAAGTTGGAGCTGGGGGGCAGGTAATGTGGGTGAGGAACTGGCACAGGTAAAATAGCATGTTACTTGCATTTCTTTTAAAAGTAGTTCAGAGCTGCTCAGTAAAAAGAGGAGGGATGGTCTTGAGGCTTTGACTAATCAGAAAAATGCCTCAGGCTAGTGAATCCAGTCACTAGGGACATTTTATATTTTAACTGAACAATCAAGGAGTGTTAAAGGATCAAATAAAAACTGTACATTAATACAAATAAAGTGTCATTTGTATGGTACTTTACCTTAGTTAGGAGTTCTTGGGTGGTGTAAACCGTTAACTCACTTGGCTGCTAACCAAAAGGTTGGAGGTTCAAGTCCCCCCAGAGGCACCTGGGAAGAAAAGCTGGAGATCTTCTGAAAAATCCACCACTGAAAACCCCATGGAGCACAGTTCTCTTTTCACACACATGGAGTCGCCATGAGTTAGAATTGACTCCATGACAACTGGTTACCGTATTTATGGTTCTTTCACAACTGACCATAAACGTTAACTCATGGGGCCTGGACTCTCACAGTCTGTGACCATCCACCCAATGGGGACTTGCCTTGGGTTACTCTGCTAGTCACTGATACAGACTGACTGCCCAGGTCTTCAGACTCCAGTTCAAGCTGGACTCGATGGGACCAATACAGGGAAGAGGACTTGTGGGGCAGTGAGGTGGGAGAAGGGCAGAGCAGCAGGGCAGCAGGGCACGTGAGCCCTGTGAGGGCCTACTTACTTAACTGGGCAGCAGAGAGTAATTGTTTTTTGTTATAAATGTCAAAAAGTGGAAAGAGCTACATTCTTAAACTGTCCACATAAACATTATTTGGGCTATAAAAATTATGGATGAATGTTTTGAATATAATATTCCTGCTTTTCTAAGTTGTCCATAGTTCACTTTCGAGTGGCAATTTCTGAGCTTGCTGTTTTCGTCAAGCCCCAGTCACACCCATATTTCAAGGGAGGAATGTGTAAGTCTTGCCAGGACTTGTTCTGCACCTATCCACCCTTTTCAGTGACTGAAGTTTTACGAACACGTTATGATTTATCTTGAGGAAACCTTACTTCTGACTCTTTGGGGCCCATTTCGGGCAAGCTCTATTAGTAGAAACAATAGGATTGCATTTGGGGTGGGGTGGATCTTCAGTTCTTACTTGCCTTTTCACAGGAGGGTGGAAAATAAAAATCTCTCTATCTTGGAGTCTTTGCTCAAACAACAAGCCAAGGAAAACCTTTTAAAAATCTTTCCTAGAGAAGTGTATTTATGATGAACAATACTGATATTTGTCAGCAATTTATGTTCACATAAAAGTAATTTTAATACGTAAAACGATTAGTTTATTGGTTATCTTCTAACAACCCAGTTGTTCCCACTGTATTTGAAGTTTCAATACCTTGGTATTTGATTTACTAGCGTTTGTGTCTTTGTTCTTAAAGTTCTAGAGAAGCATATTTTAAGTTAAGTTGATTTAAAACTAGCTTTGCCTTGAATTTTTGAGAATTAAGTGACTCATTGAGGCAATTGGCAAAACTTTGGGTTGCTACAAAACTCGGGCTGGGAATCACTGCTCTGGATTCTTTAGTATCGCTATTTCTTCTACATTATTCTTCTCCCTCACCAACTACCTTTTCCCCCCTCATTGTTTCTATTTTACATTCTCTCTACGCTATGCTTTTTCATTTCTAGTACTTCACAGCCACTAACTCTGTGATTGTTGTGGATCATTCCACTGAGGTGGCACAGAACAGACATGTTTATTGCGAACACACAGTCATTTTTTAAGATTGGCTACAAAATAAGGTGTGAAATATGCCAGATACCCTGGCAGTAAAGGTCACCGACTGTCTCAGGTGAGACTGGGAAAGCTGCACTTCAGAATCTGCTCCTTGGGTTGAGTTAGATATAAAAGGAGGTGGCCTTAGGCACGGGCAGTGTCCCCAGCTTCGAGCTTCGACCTGAAAGTTTCCTCTAAACTCTCTCCACTCTCCTTTCAGTAGCAGCTGCTGTGGTCAGCCATGCCTGTGCCACACCCCTGAATTCCTGTGTGGAGCTAGGTGTTCAGGTAAACGTCTGAGCTGAGGGAAGGCCTGCGTGGTGCTGCCTCCCGTGCCCGACCCTCTGCCCTGCCTGCCCCAGCCGTTCTCCCGGTCAGTGTCCCTATGCTGGCCAAGGCTGCTCCCTTTCAAAAGGCTAATAATAGTAAGCATTTCAGAAGTGGATTAGGAAGAGCATATGTGCACAGCCCTGAGGTTTAAATTATTTTGATTTTCTGATGTTGGGTAGTTTAGCAGAGTGTCTCTATTGTATTCTAGTCAGTTACACTTTTCATAGAACATTATCAGGAAAAAAGAAGGCTGTCATTTTGGAATCCCTGAGTGGTGTAAACGGTTAACTCACTTAGCTGATAACTGAAAGGTTGGAGGCTCAGTCCACCCACAGGTGCCTCGGAAGCAAAGCTTGGCAGTCTACTTCCAAAAAATTATCCATTGAAAACCCTGTGGAGCACAGTTCTACTCCAACACACATGGGGTCGCCATGAGGATGGCAACTGCTTTGGTTTCTATCATTTTAAGTGGTCTCTCAAAGGGTATAAAATTTACTCAAAGAATTAAAAACCCATGTCTGGTAGGTCATTGTGGAAGTGCTTAAATATGAAGAGGGCAAGGTTAATTAGTTTTTATCTAAACATTGTTTGTTGGGCTGTACCAGTTCCCCAGAGAATACCAGATTCTTTTAGAACTGAAGTGGTTAAAAACGTAGATCTTTTTTTCTTTTATCTAACTGCTTACTTACCTGTATGTTGAGTCCCCGGCCCCGCCGTCAGACCAGCACGGCTTCCAGTCCTCCACGCATCAGACTTGTGTTTCCGTAAGCTCATACTCCTGGCGCCATCTTTGACACCTCTGCATTGACCTCAGAGGCCACCCTCATTCTTGGCACTGTGGCTTGGATGTGACATCTCCACACCCATCAGCCTCCCCCAGCTGGCCTTCCAGGCTATTCTTTCTCTCCCTTTCAATTCATCTTGTGCACTGTTACCAGATTAATCTTTCTAAGAACACCATTTTCATCTCATGGTGGCCTTGGCCGCAGAGGTGTTACCAGTTTACCTATCAAGTCAGATCAAATCTAAACTCTTCAGCCTCGAGTTCAAGACCGATACCACTGTCCCTTGAAACCTCATTCCTCTCTGCTCCCCACAGTTAGGTCCTCTTAGTGTTATACCCGCTCTCCCGTCTTGCTGTGGCTACCCTGTGCCTCCACGTTTGCTCACGCATTTCTCTCTGTATAATATGCTCTACTCCATTTCTTGGACAATTCCAAGCCCACATGGTCCAGCTCAGCTCCCTTTACGGTAAACATTCCCAGAGGAGCACCCTGGCTAGTTTCCCTCACTCACTGCAGTGCTGTCGTCTGTGCCACACTGTGAGGCTATTTCTGAATTGTTTCTAATTTCGAAGGTATGCAACTTCTCTCTTCATCTGGATCATGAGCTCCTCAGGGCAGGTCACGGAGCTCCTGCAGCATCTGTTAAGCATTTCAGCCTAGGAAGGAAGCAGGTTTTGAATGTCCGGACACCGTGCCTGCTTTTGTTTCCTCTTCACCTCACTGCCTGGCCTTCTGCTCTCCCGACCTTCTTTTTAAAACAGACGAGAAGACTGGTTATAAGCGTTTCAGTAACTTCACCTCTCCAAGCTACTGTCTAACTCCCGACCCATTCCTGTCCACTGCTCCAGCCCCGCGAAAATGAACTGTGTTGCTCCCGCTCGTAAGTGGGTGCAACAGTGGAAGTTGCTGGTAAAATCAGTGGTTCCAGTAGATGGACTTTTCTTTGAATCAGTGTGGTGTGTTTATTCTGTCCCACCCCCCTTTTCTTTATTTGTTGGAAAGAACATGCTTATTGAGAAACCAAATAGTATTGACCATTTTTCCCCTCTGGGCAGGGCTTTCTTGCAAGCGTGGGATTTGAGGTTGGAGCCAGTTGACTGACCTGGCCATGCAAATGCCGTGGAAAGACTCTTCCCACGAAGGTCTTCCTAATCTTAATGGGTCATTATAAATGTAGTCTCTACATAAGTGAGGTTTTGTCACTTTCAATGCTGAATAGTAGTAATAATATTAAGAACCCCCTACTATTTTTACCAGGGCAGTGGTGGTTCAGTGGTAGAATTCTCGCCTTCCATACAGGAGACCTGGGTTCGATTCCTGGCCAGTGCACCTCATGTGCAACCACCACTCATCTGTCAGTGGAGGTTTGTGTGTTGCTATGATGCTGAACAGGTTTCAGCGGAGCTTCCAGACTAAGATGGACTAGGAAGAAAGGCCTGGCAATCTACTTCTGAAAACTAGCCAGTGAAAACCCTGTGGATCACAACTGTCTGATCCTGCTGTGCATGGGGTTGCCATGAGTCGGGGGCTGACTTGATGACCGCTAACAACAACAACAAACAACACCATTTTTACCACAATGAAACAATAAAATAAAAAAGAACACTGTACTCCTATTCTTCTGTTCGATAAAGACATTGTGCTTGCACTTAACAGTCATTTTATCATTTAATTCTCACACAGTTAGTCTTGTAATGTGATGAAACTGAGGCTCATAAGGCTGAGTCACCTTCCCATTGTCACAGCCACAGCCTAGTGGAGAGTTAAGATTCAAACGGTTTGAATCACACTCAGGTCTGTTTGACCCCAAAGCCCTTGCTTGTCACTGTGACATGTCAGAACCTCTTCCCTCCAGCACTCTGGTGATTTTCAAGAGCTGAGATCTGTGATAAATCAGTGAAATTACCTGGGCCGCACATGAGAGAAAGGCGAGCTAACACAGTAATCTCCAGTTTGTGTGGTGGCCACCTCCCTCCTTTACTGGAAAACAGCTAACACAGGCAGCAGAGAAATAGCTCTGCCCTTCAATCCTAACCCCTTGGTCAATGAGATCTTACCCAGTCCTCAGTTGCTCTATGCTGTTGAGTCTTCCCCAAACGAAGTCAATGAAGTGACCTACAAATCTATATTTAGTAAGAGATCATGCTGGGTGTTTAGGGAGAGAGAAATAAGCCAGTGATTCTGCCTGCCAAGAACTTGTAATCTAGCTGAACAGGGAAGACACATGTCCCTGAAAAGGTAACAGGGCCAGGCTGGAGAGGTGCAGACAGGAAGTCCTGCAAAAGCTCAGGTGAGTGAGAGACCTCTTGCTCCAGGGCCGTTTGAACTGAGCCTTAAAAATGGCTGGGATTTGTGAGGCAGAAAGCCTGCCCAGAGATTTACTGTGAATAAAGACACTGAGGGGCAGTGAGTCCATGTGTTTGTGGAACACAGGGTGCATGGACAAAGGTGATCTGAGAGAAAGCTGGAGACTGGGGAAGCCAAATTATGGAAGGCCTTGGAATGCCGGGTGTGTGGACTTACTTGTGGGAAGCCATTGAAGGGTTGAAAGCTCTGATGAGAATGGTGTTTCAGGAGGATGATTAATTAACCTACCAGCTCTGTGCAGCCTGGGTCAGAGGTGGGAGAGAGCCTAAGGCAGAAAGCCTAGCTGGCTTTTGCAGGTGGTGGCAGAGAAGTGGCAGATAGAGACATTACAAAGAAAGAATCTATGTTATTTGTCAATTGGTATTCTGAAGAAAGTAGTCAGTGGGGAGGGAGAGTAAGAAGTCAAAGATGACGCTGAAGTTCTGAACCTGAGTCTCAGAGGATGCTCATCAGAGGCTTGCTAAGTCAGTGAGCCTAAGTCACTGAGGATGCTGGTACTGTTTCCTACTTGTGGCAAAATCAAGATGGGGACCTTGCCTGGGCAAGGAAAATAAATAGTGGACTGTCTTCTTTGAATCCGTATGGTGGTTTATTCTCATAGAAAAGTTAATTATTTCCAAAGCAACACCCCGGTGTTCTCCATGAGGAAGTGTTCTGAGAACCACCTCCTGGCCAGCCATGAACTTACAGCACTAGAGTTTGTCATGTGGTGGGTGGTCCCAGCACACCACTCTGGGGCTCAGAGGACACAGTCCAGGGAGGCGGAACTACTGAGTCCACCTTGCCACCCACAGCATGATGCTCCATTCAACCCTGAAATAGGCAGAAGTTTGATTAAGACCTTTATTTATTGACCCTGGGTCAAGATGGCTCAAGTCTCTTGTATCTACTTCAGTAAGTAATGTCTTTAGGAAGGAAAATGAAATCACCTTGTTTTAGCTCCAGTTTCTTAGATTGTACTTCAATTCCGAAATGGGGTGGTGTCTATTTTATAGGCCTGCTGGCTAGAAGTGTTAACAGGCAGATCTTCCTGAGACTTAAGTGCCATTGTACTTGGGTGTCAATGTAAATTACGGTCTGGTGACTGCAAATTTAGGAGACTAGGTGCATAAAAGCCCAAACTCGTTGCTGTCGAGTCAATTCCTGGTGGATCGGAACTGCCGACTTTTTGGTTAGCTGCTGTTCCTTGGAAACCCTAAGGGGCAGTTCTACTCTGTCCTATAGGGTCGCTATGAGTTGGAATGGACTGGACGGCAATGGGTTTAGGTGCATGCTTTTTTTTCTTTGATGTAAGTTAAGTTTATGATTCCCCAAATCAGTTCAGCCTAGCAGAAGGAGAAATCAACACGCTGCTTCTGTCTCCTGTATTTACTTGATGTTTGTTTGTGACCTTAGAATTCTCGAGATTGCAGCCTGTCACTCTGCCCACACCTCTGCTGCCAAGACCCAGGGCGGAAACGTGTACATGTGGGGCCAGTGTCGCGGCCAGTCGGTCACTCTGCCTCACCTCACCCGCTTCTCCTGCACCGACGATGTCTTTGCCTGCTTTGCCACTCCCCCCGTCACGTGGCGCCTCCTGTCCGTGGGTGAGCTGATGGTTGTCCATTTGGTGATGACCTGAGAACTAGGATGAAAACCCTGGTGCTTTTATTTTGATAGTTAGAATTTGTGTTAAGTGCTTTTTCATCTAATGTATTACCCTCTGATGGGCCCCTGTGAAAGGCAACTAATTTAATTGATTAATTTTCTTAAAGAAATGTGTCAGAGACCAAGCACTCATACCAAATTAAAAGTCATTTTATTTCACTGCTTTTTAATCTTACTGGGAACCTATGTATTTGATTTTTAGCTGGTATATTTGCTCAAATATTAAGAATTTCCTTCTGTGAGGTAGTTTGAGACTTTTAGTTGTTGTTTTGCCAAATTTATGAGCAGATGTGTGTAAGGTTCTTATCCTTAATGATTACAGAGATGCTAATCTATTTAGGGAAAAAAAGCATTATTATGTTGTTGTTGTTATTATTATGTTGATGTGTTATTACACTTATTACAGAGAATTGGTATTTTCATAACCTGCAGCCAGCAGTGCTATATCTGGTCTGCATTTTCTTTGTGTCTGTAGCTGATTCTAAAACCATCCATGTCACTCCCTTAGAACCAGATGGGCACCTCACAGTGGCTGAGTCACTGAAAAGGGAATTTGACAACCCCGACACTGCAGACATGAAATTTTTAGTAGATGGAAAGTATATTTATGCACACAAAGTCCTTCTCAAAATTAGGTAAGACATATAATTTGTTTTTTTTTGAGAATTGAGATAAATCCATTGATTCAGTAATTATTTTCTAAGTGTCCAGGAAACAACGCTAGGCACTTTAGTAATTATGAAAAAATGTAAAGCAGCTAGAGGAAGTACATTACACATGAAACAAGAAAATACAGGCCATGTGGGACAGTGCTGGGGGCATGGTTCAGGGAAGAAGTGCTGTAGCTACTCATTCATTCATTCATTCATCAAGAGGGCTTTGACTACTCAACGATAACGAACAATGATGAATCTGCAAAGCATCTCACAGCATGGTTGAATCTGGAGGACATCATGTGAGTGAAATAGGTGAATCACAAAAGGACAAATATTGTATGAGACCACTACTATAAAAATTCATGAAAGAGTTTACACACAAAAAGAAACAATCTTTGATGGTTACAAGAGAGGGGAGGGGTAGGGATGGAAGAACATTAAGTAGACGATAGGTAAGTGGTAACTTTGGTGAAGGGTAAGACAGTACACAATACTGGGGGAGCCAGCACAACTGATACAAGGCAAGGTCATGGAAGCTCCATAGACACACCCAAAGTCCCTGAGGGACCTAATTGCTGGGCTGAGAGCTGCGGGCACCATGGTCTCGGGGAACATCTAGCTCAATTGGCGTAACAGTTTATAAAGAAAATGTTCTACATTCTGCTTTGGTGAGTAGCATCTGGGGTCTTAAAAGCCTGTGAGCAGCCATCTAAGGTACTCCACTGGTCTCCCTCCTTTGAGAGCAGAGGAGAATGAAGAAAACTAAAGATACAAGGGAAAGCTTAGTCCAGAGGACTGAGTCCAGACTGAGTCCAGCACAACTAGATGGTGCCCGGCTACCACCACTGACTACTCTGACAGGGATCACAACAGAGGGTCCCGGACTGAAGGAGCCCCTAAGACTACTACCCTAAGACAACCTACTAACTCACAACAAAAGACCAGACTTACTGGCCTGACAGAGACTGGAGAAACCTTGAGAGTATGGCCCCTGGACACTCTTTTAGCTCAGTAATGAAGTCAACTCCTGAGGTTTACCCTTCATCCAAAGATTAGACAGGCCCGTAAAACAAAATGAGACTAAAAGGGAACACCAGCCCAGGGGCAAGGACTAGAAGGCAGGAGGGGACAGGAAAGCTGGTAATAGGGAACCCAAGGTCGAGAAAGGAGAGTGTTGACATGTTGTGGGGTTGTTAACCAATGTCATAGAACAATATGTGTACTAACTGTTTAATGAGAAGCTAGTTCTGTAAACCTTCATGTAAAGTACAGTTAAAAAAAAAAAAAGAAAGCTTTGAAAAGAGCCTACCCACTCTGGCATTGGAGAGCAGGAAGCTAGCATTTGGTGATCATGTTCTGTATTGTGAGCACTGTATTAAGTTCTTTAACATAAGGAAACTTCCCTAACCGGGAACTGAACTCAGCCCGTGATAGTCACTATTCTTAATCAGTTGTGGGATACTGAACTTACAGGTGCTTTAAAAAGAGAAGACAAAAACAAAAAAACATGATGGCTTTGCTAGACCAACAAATTCTAAGGTGAAGCGAACATGGAAGTTTTCTTTTTCTTTTTTTGAAGTTTGAATTCTATTTAATTTTTTTTAACATTTTATTGTGCTTTAGGTGAAAGTTTACATAGCAATTTAGTTTTCTAATCATTGATTCTTAACACAGATTGTTCCCTAATATTGGTTGCAATCTCTGCAGTGTGTCAACACTCTCCCCATTTCCTCCCTTGGTTCTCTGTTTCCATTAGTCCGGTTTCCCTGCCCCTCCCTACCTTCTCAACTTTGATTTTGGGCAAATATTGCCCTTTTGGTCTCGTATAGTTGATTGCTCTAAGGAGCACATTCTTCACGGGTGTTGTTTATTTTATAGCCCCGTCTCTATTATTTGGCTGAAAGGTGGCCTCTGAGAGTGTCTTCAGTTTCAAGTTAGAAGGTTGTCTTAGGGTAGTAGTCTTAGGGGCTCCTTCAGTCTCTTTCAGACCAGTAAGTCTGGCTTTTTTTTTTTAACTTGAATTTTGTTCTACATTTTTTACCTATTCTAACCAGGACCTTCTACTGTGATCCCTGTCAGCACCCTGTAGTGGTAGCCGGGCACCAAATAGTTCTTCTGGTCTCAGGTTAGAGGAGGCTGTGGTTCATGTGGAGCATTAGTCATTTGGACTAATTGCATCCTTGAGTCTTTGGTTTTCTTTGTTCTCCTTTGCTCCAGGCTGGAAGAGACCAATAGCTGCTTCTTAGATGGCCACTCACAAGCTTTTGAGGCTCCAGACGCTACTCACCAGGCCATGATGTAGAACATTATCTTTATGAACTGTGTTTTGCCAATTGACCTAAATGTCCCCCAAGACCATGGTCCTTAGCCTTCACGTCCAGTAGTTCAGTCCCAGTGTCTAAGTAGTTTCTATAACTGTGCCCCCATATGCTCTATTATACATATGCATATACATGCAGCATTTATAAATATGTATGTAGAAATATCCACAGCCATACCTATATATGTATGTGGGCGTACTCCCATATGACCTCCCTCACTTATTTAGCATAAATATTAGCCTATGTATCTATTCACAAATTATTGTTTGTTATTACTGTTGTTGCAGGATTATATATGTTATAGAATTCACTGTAATTGCCCTTTATTGTTGCATACCTCTCAGCGTCTTCCTTTGCCTTGGTCACGTTGTGCTGACTTTCCCCATATGGTGTATCGCCTTTCCCTTCACCAGAATTAATACTTGTCTACTGTCTAGTTGATGATTCTCCATTCCTCCTCTTTGCATCCCTGGTAACCATCAGAGAATGTTTCTTTCTGTGTGTAAACCTATTCTCTAGCCTTTTTACAATAGTGATCTCATACAATATTTGTCTATTTGTGATTGACTTATTTCACTCAGCATAATGTCCTCCAGATCCATCCATGTTGTGAGATATTTCACAGATTCATCATTGTTCTTTATTGTTGCATAGTACTCCATTTTGTGTATGTACCACAGTTTGTTTATGCATTCATCCATTGATGAGCACTTAGGTTGTTTCTGTCTTTTTGCTGTTGTGAATAATGCTGCAATGAACATAGGTGTGCATATGTCTGTTTGTGTTGCTGCTCTTCTTTCTCTAGGATATATTCCGAGGAGTGGGATTGTTGGATCGTATGGTAATTCTATTTCTAGCTTTTCTTAAGGAAGCACTATACCATTTTCCATAGTGGTTGTACCATTTCACATTCCTACCAGCAGTGTATAAGAATTCCAGTCTCCCCACAATCTTGTCAGCATTTGTTGCCCTCTGTTTTTTTTTGATCAGTGCCCTATTGCTGAGGTGAGATGGTATCTCATTGTATTTTTGATTTGCAGCTCTCTAATGGCTAGTGATTGCGAGCATCTCTTCATGTGTTTTGTTAGCTGCCTGAATGTCTTCTTTGGTGAAGTGTCTATTCATGCCCTTTGCCCATTTCTTAATTGGATTATTTGTCTTTTTGTTGTTGAGGTGTTGAAGTATTCTGTAGATTTTAGTATTAGGCCCTTGTTGGATATGTCATAGCCAAAAATTGTTTCCCATTCTGTAGGTTCACTTTTTACTCTTTTGGCGAAGTCTTTTGATGAGCATAAGTGTTTAATTTTTAGGAGATCCAGTTATCTAGTTTATCTTTTGGTGTTTGTGCATTTTTAGTTATGTTTTGTATTCTATTTATGCTGTATATTAGGGCCACTAGCATTGTCCTTATTTTTTCTTTCATGATCTTTATTGTTTTAGGTTTTACATTTAGGCCTTTGATCCATTTTGAGTTAGTTTTCGTGTATGGTGTGAGGTATGGTCTTGTTTCATTTTTTTGCAAATGGATATCCAGTTTTGCCAGCACCAATTGTTAGAGAAACTTTCTCTTCACCATTTAATGGACTTCGACCCTTTGTCGAAGAGCAGTTGTCCATAGGTGGATGGATTTACTTCTGGGTTCTCAATTCTGTTCCATTGGTCTATGTGTCCATCATTGTACCAGTGCCAAGCTGTGTTGACTACTGTGGCTGTATAGGAAGTTCTGAGATTGGTGACTGTGAGGCCTCCTACTTTGTTCTTCAGAGATTTTATAAAAATCAAGTTTATTGTTGTGTAATTTATGTGCCATGAACTGCATCCATTGTAAGTGTGCAGTTTGATGCGATTTGACAGGCATACATGCCCGTGAAACCACTGCCAGAATCAAGATACGGAACGTTTCCATCACCCCTCAAAGATCCCTCATGCCCCTTTGTTGTCCATCCTTCGCTCCACCCCTCAGCCTCAGCAGTCACTGCTCTCCCTCTGTCACTGTTGATTAGCTAACATTTTCTAGAATTTTATATGAATGGAATCAGACAGCATGTATGTTGTATCTGTCTAGTTTCATTTAGTGTAATGATTTTGAAATTCATTCACATTGTATAACAGATACTTGAATCCTCAGTCAGTGAATCGTGAACTCAATATGCATTTTAGTCTCAAGTTCCCCTCTTTGTAAGGTCAAGCTGTGCAACATTTGTTCACTGTTATTACAGGACTGAAACCTTCATGAAAAGGGGGTGAAGACATAAAATTACTCAGATTTTATAAAAATAAACCCCACTGGTTTCTAAAAATGCTGATAGATGTGGTGTGGGGTCCACGTCAGGGAGTACTGGCCCTGTCTCCAGGCTGTATTTGCAGACGTAGTGAATAAATGATTGTGTTAAAACTTCAGGTCAGCAAAGAAAGTTGAGGAGCCAGGGTGAGGAAAGGACAGTACAGCTTACGAGAATCATGAACGATGCTGGTGTTTTTCCTTTCCCTTAGTTCTTAGTGTTTTGCTTTTTTAAGCCATCTGAGGAAGGCCATTAGCTCCTGCCCAGGACTTAATGTGTTTCTTTCTTCTTCAAGGTGTGAACATTTTCGTTCTTCGTTGGCAAACAATGAGGATGAGATTGTAGAAATGAGTGAATTTTCATACCCTGTTTACCGAGCCTTCCTGGAGTACCTGTACACAGATAGCATCAACCTCTCTCCGGAGGAGGCCATAGGTAATGACCACAAGACCTTACCGAGGAATGGGCAAAATGTTGAGAAACTGACAAGATGGCCTCTGCCGAGACTAAAAGAAAGTTACTGTGAGATAATCACAGGAGTAGTTCTTTTTCTGTGCGTTGAACCCAGGCTTTTCCCTGTTACGTCTTGATACAAAGATTGACTGGTAGATAGATAAATGAAATGTCAAAACATTATCACTTTGCAGTGGGTGCTGTTCTTGCTTAATTACCGTCCCTGGTTGGTGCAGTTAACATGCTCAACTGCTAACCAAAAGGTTGGAGGTTTGTGTCCACCCAGAGGCACCTTGGAAGAAAGGCCTGGTGATCTACTTCCGAAAAATTAGCCACTGAAAAGCCTATAGAACACAATTCTACTCCTGACACACATGGGGGTTACCATAAGTCAGAACTGACCCCACAGCACCTGGTTTGGTTTTGTGTGTGTGTGTTTTTTAAACAGGAGGTAGACGTGTCTATGAAAGGTTTTTCTTTCCTTTCTAGTTTTTAAAGATGGGTAGCTGTATGAGGACATACTGACACCCTAGATGAGGGATAATTAGAGGAGCACTTTGTTTCTTCATTTTATAAGAAAAATACTAAAGCCATTTTCAGTGTGCCCCTGTTTTTCAACAGTTAATTGTTTGTGTACTATACTATCTCAGTTCTGCTGTATTCTTGGGTAAAACCAGACACTCAAAGTGTAAGTTAGCGCCAGTCTTTATTTCATTTACACAGCCCTTCGTTAAGGATTATTTTCAAAATAATGTTAAAAACCATCTCTGAATGGTTGAGTTTAAATCAGGATGCGTGAAATCATTCCTCCTAATGAACACCTCTTTCCACCAGGATTGCTAGATTTGGCTACATTTTATAGAGAAAATCGTTTGAAAAAGCTCTGCCAACAAACCATCAAGCAAGGAATCTGTGAGGAGAATGCCATTGCCCTGCTCTCTGCGGCTGTGAAATATGACGCTCAGGTGAGAACACCAGGCTGTCTCCTAACTCACCTTCTGGAAACATGAAGTCATGTGTCTGCTTCATCCCTTAAGCTCAAATAAGCCCTTGGTAGATTAAAAATTTAATATAAAAAAAAATAACAGAAGTACTAGAAAATATATAAGTGAATGCTTATATTTTGGGGTGGCCATCAATGGGGGAAACCATAAAGAAAGGGTGTGAAATAGATCTGATTTCAAAAAGATTAAAAGAACATCTATCAAAAAACTTGTATACACCAAAAAATAATACCACAGAGAAAATGAGAAAATGATGATATTAGAAAATTAGAAGGTAAATGATATACTGGGAAAAATATTTGCAGTATACAATGGTGCAGGTTTAACATAGTTAATGTATAGGTCTTAAAAAACAAAAAAAATATGAACAGTTCGATCGAAAAAATGGACCCAAGAACAAATGGATCTATCAACAAATGAAAAATATCAATGAAAACAAGATACAGTTTTTCATTTGTCAATATAAATATATAATATTTAAGTAAATATATATATATTTAGAAATATGTTGTTGTTGTGTGCTGATTTGGACTCAGCTGATTTGTGACCCCATGTGATAGAGCAGAACTGCCCCACAGGGTTTCCTAGGCTGTGGTCTTTATGGGAGCAGATTGCCAGGTCTTTTCTCGCTCAAGAGCCACTGTGGATTGGAACCGTCGACCTTTCAGTTGGCAGCCATGTGCTTAACCATTGCACCACAGGATCAGAAAAACAGGTATTTTCTAAACTGCTTAGGAGAGTGAAAATTGGTGCAGTCTTTCTGCACAGCAATTTGGTAATTTGTATTAAAGGCCTAAAGTTTGCAACGCTTATACTGAGGAATCCACTTACGGGAATTTATCTTAAGAAGTAATCATGGATTTGAACAAACATTTAACTTCAAAGATGTTCACTGCACCATTCTTTATAATTTTGAAAAATTAGAAAAAGTCAATGTGAACAGTAGAGGATTATTTAAACTGTGGAATGTCAGTACTATGAAGTTATGCACTTATTTAAGATGTACCATTAAGTGAAAAACTAGAATCCTATTTTTTTAAAAGTATAAATATGTGGATTAAAAAAGACTGAAATTCATTATCTACATAAAAAAAGGTTGAAAAGTATAGTTAGTGGTAATCTCTGTATAGTGAGATTATGGATGATTTTTATTTCTCTCCCCTGGCTTGTTTGTATTTTCTGAACTTTCTGCAGTGACCGTGTATTGTTTTAATAATAAAGAAAGGAAAGAAACCCTTTCTTTGAGCTAAATCTTTAGGAAACAGGCCATCACTTCTTGGAGTTATCAGTCGATTTCCTTTTGGTTGTAAGGGTATCTTTTCCTATGGTCAAAAAACAGGGACATTTTAGTGGTTATATAAATAATAATACGCTTATTAGAGAAAATGTGGAAAAATACAAAAAGTCTGAGGAAGGAAATGACTCATCAACCAGGGAATATGAACATTTTCATATAGCTCCTGATTTTTTTCTAGATTATGTACATGTATATGTCTCTAAACATTTGAAGTGAAGGGTTTTTTTTACTTAACATTTAAAAAATCTGGAAAGAAAAATTTTGATGGTTATGTAATAACTCGCCTCGAGACAGTGACATTTAAAAGTGTAGTGTGAATGTATTTATATTTCATCAAGGAAATCATATCATCAAGGTAATAATATATTGGCCACTTTCAACATACAGAGTGCTTCATGGCCAGATAAAATATATGTGCTTTTCTGGACTTTGTTCTTTAAAGTCATAATGATGATTATACTGGACTCTGGCGGGATACTTCAGATGTAGACATGGTGGCTCTCATTGTTTCCCTCCAAATGAGGCTTAATTTCCAAGACTTTTCTGTATTCCCTAGTTATGTGAATTATTTGTATGATTACTGTACAGCCTTCTGTTTTCTAGAAAGTAAGCTTCTTGAGGGACAGCAGAGATGTTGTTTTGTTCATAGCCATATCCCCAGTGCCTAGGATAGTGGGATGCATAGTAGATGCTCATTAAATGTTTGTTTAATGAATGTTCAACTTTGGAAGTAGAGACACTGTCTTTTAGAGACATTATGGTACTACAGCCTGTCCAGTTAATTATTGTACCCAAATTAATATAATAGACTATAACTAAAAGATTGCATATATTCTTAACATAAAATAAAAGTTTTAATAAGTAAAGAGGAGCCCTGGTGGTGCAAAGGTTAAGCACTCCACTGCTAACTGAAAGGTTGACAGTTTGAACCCACCAGCTGCTCCACAGGCGAAAACCTGGCGAGCTTCATAAAGATTACAGCCTAGAAAACCCTATGGGGCAGTTCTACTCTGTTACATGGGGTCACTGTGAGTCAAAAATCAACTCAACGGCACTTAACAACAACAACAAAAATAAACAGCAGTGTGTTAAATTATTTTCACCTAATGACTAATAATCATGCAAAAAATGGGCTCTTTGAGCCACCAAATTATTATCCCTTATGCTAGAGCCACTAAAATAATGACTATTGCTTAGTACATAATATGAGCCAGGGATTGTTTTAAGCACAGTTTGCATCTCATTTAATTCTCAAAACAACCTTATAAGGTATAAGCATTATTATCAGTCCTGATTTACAAATGAGGAAACTGAGGCCTGGAGAGGTTAAGTAAATTCTTAGTAAGCTAATAAATTGCAAAGCTGGAACTCAGTCCAAGATTGGACAAATTTCAAAACCACGCTTTTAATTACAATTCTCTATTGCCTCCCATATTTTAAAATCAGCAGTATTCATTCATTGATTCAACAAATATTCACTTAGTGCCTGTTATATGCCCAGCACTATTCTAGGCACTAAAAATACAGTAGGTGTCTTAGGCTGGGTTCTCAAAAGAAAGAAAACCAGTGAAGCATGTGTATATACATATATATATATGTGTGTGTGTGTGTGTATATATGTATATATATGTGTGTATAT